ATTTTTTACTGAAGAACCTCTGAATTGAGAAGCTGAGGTGCTTGGTGATCAATCATATTGCCTCTCTATTTTTCCTTTTTACATTTTATATGCCTATGCTGATCACTATATACCTATATACCTGGAAATCTTCCAAAGTCCATTCAATATATTTACTCATGCAATACAATGGCCCTCTGAGAAATACTGTTGCCTCCTCAGCCAAGGACACTGAGGCAGCAAGAGGGACAGGAACTTTCCCAGAATTCACTATAAGAGTCAGAATGAGGATTTGAACCCCTAATGTCCTGTTTTGGGATCTGTGTTCCTATTCAGGCTTCATCTTACATGACTTAGCAAGATTAGCACATCTGATCACTCAATTGTTCCCCCAAATCCTTTCTTCACCTGGCTTCCAATCCACCTTACTCACCTGGTTCTTGCCCTACCTTTCTGACTGTCCCATCCCATTCTCCTTTGCTAGTTCCTCTTTGTCTCTCTGACTTCCAAAAGCTGGAGTGCCCCAGAGATCAGTCCTTGGACCTGTTTTCTATACTCAGTCCTTAGATGACCTCATCCAATTTTACAGCTTAAATAGCTCTATGTAAATAGCTTACAGATCAATATGTCCTGTCTGGAACTCTCCCGTAAAATTCAGACTCATATATCTAACTGTCCACTTAACCTCTCTACTAATGGCTATCTAATGGCATCTCAAAATCAACGTGCCTACAGCTGATTCCTGCTCTTCTTCCATGAACTTGCTGCTCCCAGACTCAGTTAATGACAAATCTCTTCTTCTAGTTTTCTAGGCCAAAAATTGGGATGCCAACCATGACTCCTCATTTTTTTTCTCACAATGCATTCATCTGTAAACTATATCCAAGATTTGACCATTTTTCATCACCCCTCCCCACTATTACCACCCTAGTCCAAGTCACTATTATCTTGCCTAGATGTTGCTTAGATTTTTAACTGGTCTCCTGCTTCTCCCTTTTATTCCCTGCCAACTTGAGGAGAGTGAGGCACCACCCTGAACATAAAATTTAAGAAATATCAAAACTCAGTAAGCAAGACAAATGTGGCATTTTAATGTAATATTTTAAAAATATGTTTGTATTGATTTCAGACAGGAAGGCAGAGAGAAAGAGAAATAAAAACATCAATGATAAGAGAGAATCATTGATTAGCTGCCTCCTGCAAACCCCACTCTGGGGATCGAGCCCACAACCTGGGCATGAAACCTGACCAGGAATCAAACCATGACCTCCTAGTTCATAGATCGATGCTCAACCACTGAGCCATGCTGACCAGGCTGTGATATTTTTTTAAATCATAATTTAAACTAGCAAACTTTTAAATAAAAACAGGACCAGACCCTGTGTTTGCATAACTCACCTCCTTTTCCTCACCTCAGTCCCAGTGCCACTTGACTCCCTTCAATGTTCTCTCAACAGTTACAGTGATTCTGTTAAAACTCAAGTAAAATCTTGTCGATTGTCTGGCTTCACTTCTCAGAGCAAAATCCAAAGCCCTTCTCATGATGTAGAAGGTCCTACATGACCGGGTCCCCCATTATCTCCCAAACCCCAACTCCCACTTCTCTCCTCACGCACTCGGCTTCATCATCTCCATATGGCCTCCTCACTGTTTCACCAGCAAGCCCCTGCCCTTGCCAGACCTACTGCCTTGAATGCTCTCTCCCAAATATATCCCTCACTTCACCCAGTTCTCTTCCCAAATCTACTCTATCTAGACCACACTATCTAAAAATGCCACCCCCATACTTTATATTTCACTTTATATTCCTCTTCCACTTTTTATTTTTTTGTCCACAGAAATTATCATAAGCACACTATACATATCACTATTTTATTTATTGTCTTAACCACTTTATAACTCCATCAACTACTCTAAAGCTGAGATTTTAGGGTTTGTGTTGTTCTATGTTACATCCCTATGTCTCAAAAAATGCTTGGATGATAGTAGGTACTCAGTAAATAATTTTTGAATGAATAGTGACCAATTGTCATGAGTGCTTTCCTTAGCTCCAATGGTCTCAAAGCCTGCTCTATAGAGGTTTTAGATCTATTGCCTCAATAAATTACATCAGGAACTATCTGTAAAATGCAGTTCCCTAAGATCTAAAGAATTCACAAGGTGCTAAATTAGATAACATATTGAAAAACCTTTGACCAATTTTTGAAACAAAAGTTTGACTTGCCTAAAAAAAATATTTATCTGGGATTCAGGTTCAAAGTTGGGAGAGCGAGTTGTTTTTGAAGACCAATTTTCTCTTATGGCAAATTCTGAATTTTATTTCAATGTTCTGATTTCCAGTCTCTTGACATTATATTAAGATGCCATATAGATTCTCTTAATAGTTTCAGAGTGAATCTATTATGTAACCAAAAGGCCTTTCTGATGTAAAATATCTTTGATCCCCTTTGCTAATTATTAACCAAAACTAAAGATAGGTGTTGCAAATAAAAGTTGTTTCGCCATAAACTGTTATCTTTTGATAGAAAAGATGAAGTTCAGCAAAGGAAAAATCTACAAATTGGCTAAAAAACAACAGATTCTGCCTGCAAACATCTGTAAGACACTCATGACTAACCTCACCAGACCACGAGTCCATTTATGGCCTCCTTGCTTCTGCAGGTTAAATTCAGCACTGTGGGAGAGTTTGAGAGTATCCAGATGAAAAAAGAAAAAAAAGAAAAAAAGGAAAAAAAACCCACACAATTTTAGTAACATTTGGGAACAGGGGAGGAATTCGATTTTGTCTTACAGGTTAATGTTCTTTATAAATCTTCAAAATCCTTTTTGTCATTTTATGTTTTTAAGAGGATAGATATAGATATAGATATAGATATAGATGATATAGATATAGATATAGATATATTTGTATCGGTTCCATGACTGTATTCACCAGCAGGTTGGGATTATAGAGTGAAAACACATCTTGTTTTCCCTACCTTGTAGTGTCCCGAGAAAGAGCATTTATATTATAAATGTGTCTATAAAGCAATTTGTTCCTCCCTGGATTGCTACGAATACACCAAATCACCACTGTCGTCCATAAAGATTCCCTTTAATTTGTCATAGCCAAGGTATGAAGTTAGGATTTCTTTTTCTTTTTAAATCACTACATTTTGCAAAGTGCAGATACAGAAGCGAGTATGTTAGCCTACTGCCAATAAAACTCAATGCCCTAAAACTGGGCAGGCGATGGGGCTGATATACAGACAGCGCTATGGAAATATGCCTAAAGAGAGTGAATGGGTGAAGACTGAATTAATTGAACGGCGTCGAAAGTAAGCAAGAATTATTAGAAAGGGCAAGGGCAAGCATGGCCATGTTTCTGTGAAGAGCATAAAACTGTCCTTGTAACAGCTAATGGGTGTTATTTTTCTGGAATCTCATTATTTCTTTCCTTTGGTTTTCTTAACTTTATTGAAAATGTTGCTTTCTAAATGATGCTTGTCTATTAGTTTGGGCATTTTAAAATTCTGTTATTTTGATATATTTTAATTCTACATTTTACTGAAATTATTACCTCAGGTTCTTAATCTTTTTTTCTTTTTTTTTTAGCACCTAATTTCTGGCCCAGTTTTCTATATCATTAATGGTTCATTCAATTCAAATTTTTATTGTTATCTTTTTTCACTTGGAATTTTTCAAGACAACCAAAATCAACCAATATCTCAATATGCAGGACAGAAAAAAAATTTTAAAGGGCCTACATTAGATTTGCATTTGATTCAACCCATCATAAAACATGTTTCCACTGTCTTGGTTGGCAGAGCACATTAAGCAGAGTGGAAATCCAGCACAGAACCTTCACTGAGCCATTCACGCTCTAACTCAGCAAGTGCACTCGGATTACACTCATGGGAAACTTCAGAACCTCACACCACTATTGTGGGGACCTGCAGCATGGCCATATCCTTGCCCTGCAAACCTGTGAGTCACAATAACCATCATATTTGAAATGGGTTCAGATCTCTACCAAAACAGACAGTATAGACAATAAAATACTGACATTGCACCTTAATATCTACATAAGCCCAGACATATATAAACTTACATAGTTTCTTAGATTTTTACAAAGAACTCTATGTCTGTGAAGTACATCATCCAGATGTTAGCAAGCCCTTTCAACATCACTCAAAAGAATCTATTGTTGTTTAGTTAAAACGCAGGTGACATTTTTATTACATAGTTTGCAGGAGGACTTCTGTTTTTGCCCCCAGTGCATTCTGTCCTAGAAATTTATCTTTGGAGACTTTGTATATGTAAAAGTCTAAACGACCATTACGACCAGTCCACCAAACAACCTGTCTAATGGTTGGCCAGTCACTATGAAGATGCACTGACTACCAGGGGGCAGATGCTTAATACAGGAACGGCCCCCTGGTGGTCAATATGCTCCCACAGCCAACCTCCTGCAGTCCCTCCCCCAAGCTGGCCAACCTCCTGTAGTCCCTCCTCCTGGCCAGCTGATACCCACCAGGCCGAGGGACCACACCTGTGCACGAATTTGTGCACCAGGCCTCTAGTAAGTAGATGTCTTAGTTAAACACATAGAGGACATAAATGAAGCTAACACTCTTAGGATCCTGATACCTTATTCTAGTTGACCGATTTAGTAACAGTGTACTCCTTCCCACATCTATAAGGATCATTCTGCATATTCTTTTAATTGACAAGAGCTAATTTGTATCTGAGCATTTGGTGACATTCACAGGTCACTGAATTGAGAATTACTGATCTGCATTCTAATTGGAGATAGGACACCACTCATTTTTTAACTTCAAATTTCAGCTAAAATTGAACATTTTTTAAAAATCTCTTCCTTAATGAGGATATGTAACTGGCCTTGTTTGTTTGTGGCTGTTAGTTGCTCTAACCTGATGTCTCATTTGCAGAGAATGTTTCCTAAAGATGTCCTTTATGAGAAGGACAAGTTTGGACTTGGCAACAGCAATTTACTTAATTTATCTTAAATTTGGTTTCAGTGAGCAACCCTAATTAACCTGATTTTTTGCTGATAATCACTCTCAATGGAATCAAATCACAAATCCGGGGATGGATTGAGCGGCACCCAGAAGGAAGCAGCCCTTCGCGCACTGGTCCAGCGCACAGGATATAGCCTGGTCCAGGTAGGAACTTCTTATGACATCTGCTGAGACCCACAGAAGTCAGTGCTGAGACATTTACTCATAGTGGGAATGCGAGTGGTCCTGAGATACAAAATGGTAACAACAGTCATATAACTCTAGGTGTGGGGAGGGGGGAGTTGCATCATTTCAGTTTTGTAGGTGACCCTGCAGGTGTGTTCTCTCAACCTTAACTTATCATTTGAAAGCAGAATCAGTGTCCACAGTTACAGAGACAATCACAATTTTTAAAGGGAGTATCAGTATATGAAAAGGCAGCTGGAATTTGCCATCCAAAGCTGTCGGTGAAGTAGAACCAGACCAGTGTTTCAAGAATCATTGGAAAACAGACAACCTAGGCACTAACCTTAGTTTCCAGAGAGATCATTGCAAATGTAGAAGGACTTCTAGGTGTGGGATTGAAGAACTGACTGTCTGGTCAGCCTAACTATTCCAGTTAATTCTTGTAACATCTACTCAATAGTTTAGGACAATATAATTTTTCTCCATATTCTTTTTTTTTTTAAATCCTAAATTGTCTATTCATAGATGTTAAGAATTACCTGTATATAATTAACTTTATGATAACCTCCTTTGGAGAGCTTTTACTACCTTAAAAAGTAAGCTAATATTAAACATAAATTATCTTAGTTGAAGAAATAATGTTTCTCTTTTTACAAAGTATTGTAATTCTCAGCGATTCAATTGTCATTCACACATACATAATTTTCCAACTTAATCCAATTTTTGTTTGTTGTTCTAAGTACCAATGTCTATGTGGATAACAATAAAATAGTCAACAGTGTCTCTTTATTACATGGCCCTTTGTCAGATTACGGCAAAACGTACTACATTTAGTTTTCAATTAATCTTTAAGTCCTGGCATGTTTTGTTCTAGATAATATAATGCTCAGCATTGTTTCTAATTCTTCATACTAATGAAAAGTGTTTAGATAGGCTTAAGATTTCAGATTATTTCATGACAGACCTTTCAAAATTTAATTTAAGTCATGGGCAAGGGAGATATTATGATATTAGTGTATTATTAGGATTTTTTCATTCATTCAAAAATATATATTATATACTTACTCTATATTCTAGATATTATGGATACAGAATTAAATAAGACAAAAATCATTGTCCTTAGGTGCTTAAATAGCTAACTAGCACTTATTAAATGTGAGACATTGTGCTTACTGCTATATGTATAGTAACTCAATATTCATAATAATTCAATAAGAGTATTATCCCCATTTCACAGAAAGCACAAAACAGTTAAACATCCCACTTAAGACTCTGCAGTCACAAACTGGATTCTTAGCCTCCAAACTGTTCTGCTAAATTGCATTTCCACTAGACCAGTAGAGAAGAGCTGACTGGGCAGGGCCTACCCATGCCACCTTAGGGCATTCAGAATTTATCCTTTGTGCCAAGGAATGTTATTAAAGGGTCTCAAGCATGGAATAACTTATAAGGATTCCTCTGGCTGGTTGAGAATGGGTCACTGGGCATCCAGAATTCAAACAGGAAACCAGTTAGTGATTCAGATGGTATTCCAGATCAGGCCTGGGCTAGGGGCATTCTCTCATTTACTATTTTCAATTCTATGAAGTGGAGATTGATGGCCACATTTTATAGATGAAGGGAAGGTTGGATATCTGGAAGCTTTGAGGACCTCAAAGCCAGTACCATTTCAGTGCAATATGATTCAGCTGAACTTCTAAATCCAGGTCTTATATTTGGTTATTTAATGGTTTCTCAAACACATATATTCTCTCACCATGAAGTAGAGAATATCCTATTTCACAAATGAAGTAACCAAGGCTTAGACGCCATGACTTGGTCTGTTCAACCCCACTTTTCCCAGAGTTTCTGCAGGCACCCATGTGCCCCCTGCTTCCCACACATCTCTCTGACCAAGGCCTTTATAAATACATTTGACTGTGTGGCTCAGAGGCCGGAAAGATATTTTCTTTTATTTTTTTTTCTTTTTAATCCTTACCATGGATACTTTTTCCAATGATTTTTAGACAGAGTGGAAGGAAGGAGGGGAGAGAGAAATATCTATGTAAGAGAGACACATAAATCGGTTGCCTCTCACCCGTGTCCCACAAGGATGGGGATCGAACCTGCAAACGAGGTACATGCTATTGACTGGAGATCAAACCTATGACACTTCAATCCGCAGGCCTACACTCTAATCACTGAACAAAACCAGCCAGGGCTCAAAAACCTTTCAGTGGCACATTACCATTCAGATAATTCATGCTCCATGGCACCGGATCTAGAATCCTCTGATTTCCAAATAGTCTATACTCCTTGCTTGATCCCTCAGTCTACCTGGGACATTTCTACTCATTTTTTCAAGACCAAACTGGTGTTGCCAATCAGATCCTTTCCTGTCTGGCAAGCCGAGTGCTGTCCTGTCGGTGTTCCCGCAGAACCTTTCAACATGGCTTGAGCAAACTGTAACTGACAGAGCACCTATGGCCTTTCTCCCCGAGTGGGGAAGCCTCATTGTGGCAGAGGGTTCCCTTGGTCAGCATTCTGCCTGTATGGACTGGCCGCCGGTGGAGGGCTCCCTGGGGCTGGCCAGGCTCTGGGGAGAGGGAACAAGCCTCTAGTCCAGCTCTGTTGACTATGGTCTGCCATCCACTCCCGTGGCCTGGGCACGAATATTTCTTGTACTTTTAAAAAATTCTGGAACTTCTTCCTTCCCTGCTGTTTTCTGTTTTGTGCTTATACATGTGACTAACAATAAAGCAAGAGGGAGAATATCCTGTTGAGTGGCATGGGAGCAGGGTGGAGGGTGGGTCTGAGCCTCTGGGACTAAGGACACCACTGCAACTCGGGGTGGTGCTGATTCTGTCCTCCATCTCAAGGCTCAATCCACACCTGCAGTTACATGAGCAAGACTCCACCTCTGTCTGGTTCAGTGAAGCTCACTGGTCCCAGGCCCTCCCCAGGGCACTGGAGCTGTAAGCTGACGGGTGGTTAAAAGGTCCCTCCTCCCATCCTGGCTCCCTTCAGGACTCCAAGTTAGAAAAGGGAAAGTAGCGGCCCATGTCACGGATCCTCTCCCCAGCTGGCCCAGCCCTGATGTAACAATACATGGCATTTACCAAAGCATGTCTAAGTAACAATCAGCTGGTAAGGACAGCAAACTGATCATTAGAAGGAGGAGTCATAAATTCTGGTAAATGTATGTAGTAAGTATAAAACCGTAGCCTGAGAATGAATAACCTAGGACCACTAGAATGAAAGTCAAAAACAAATGGTGGAGTAAAATAAAGAAAATCATGTAAAATATACACAGTGTGACACCAATTGTATAAAGTTTTTTTTAAAAAAAATGCAAAATATGTTAAAATCCTTAGAATGTGAGCAGTTGGGTATAAACTAATAAAGAGAAGCAAGAAACATATAAAAAAGGAAAAGGAAAATTGCCTGCCATCAGGAACCCGCGAGAGCCTGCTTCTCTCTCTTGTGTCTCCATTTGAGGTGGCTGCTCCCCACGGTGCCCATGGTTGGGGTGCAGCTCCTTGACCTTGCCCCTGCCTGCACATGTCAGAGTACTGAAAGTATATTCACAGGAGCTCGTGCTTGTTGAGGTCATGGCAATCCATGGCTTGGCGCTGGCTGGAAAGAGCTGTTCGTTTTTTAATACTTAAAAGTCAAATTAGTCTAGATGTTTTTATCTCCAAATTTAATGTGCTTTAAAATTAATGACGGATTGAAACATTTTTTATGCAGACTTCTCCTGCATAAAGTGGTATTTTATAATTCATAGAGAAAATTCTATAAAGTTTACAGTCTACAAAACAAATACCCTCAGAATAATTTTTTAACATCTGATTAATATAGTTGAATAGTGGGGATTGTCTCCTTTTATAGTCAACCCCTCCATAGATGTTATAAAATCAAATATTGTTCTTAAGTCAGTATTTTTTTGAACTTCTTTGTATCTGAAACATTCATGCAAAGTCAATAGTGGAGAGCATCTATTGAAAAGCAACTTGCCAATATTGATATATGAGTATTCCCCTTCTGTAAGCAAATCTCTAATGATCCAAAACATAATGATAGAAATGTATATGAGACTAGTCTGACATTATTTATAATGCCTCAGCAATCACACCTAAATGTATAAAAGGAATGAAATTAATAAGTAAGGTCGGAATATATAATCAGTACCTTCAACAAGCAGACTTCTATGAGAAATAACCCTAAAACAATATAAATTGTCCATTTAACTTTATTCTGGTCTCTGGTACTTCCTTTTCCCCCAGATAAAACTGGAGGCACGTCTCATTCCTTTTCTGGCAACTTTCAGGTAATAAAAGAATCTCTGCTAAATAATTAGGTCTAGTCCAGTATAAAAAACAACAACTTTATTCAAAGTTACAGCCACTTCCCTATCCCAGTAGAGGTGGGGTGCGATTTCTTTTCTGTTTTCCTCCTTTATGCTTTCAGAAGCATAGTTTTCTACGCCCGTTTGCTAGCTATAATTGAAGCAGAAGAGAGGGATGAAAGCAAAGGGGAAGGGACAGAAAAGTTCTGAACTTGACTGATACTGACATTGAGCTCTCTGGGCCTAGCAGGCATATAAAGCTCATGGGATACTTTATAGGATCCCCAGGGATATTCTTAATTCCAAGGTTAGGGATCTCTCACCTGGCTACACTCCCCTCTGGCTGGCCAGCATGCTGCTGCAGAGCTTTTGAAACTCTACGCAGCTCTCTTGGAGATGGAAAACAACCCCAGATTCCAACATAGAGCCAAATCCAATCCCTGGAAACACACATACTCTCTGACCAACAAACTCTGGAGGTATGAATGACACAAGGATCTAGCTCTCCTCGCCAAAATTACAGCAGCACGCCAGCCCACTGCCAGCCAGTAGCTAACTCAGCAGGCAGTTAGACCCTCCAGCCAATGTGTGTCCAAAAGCAGAGAATACCCACCAAGCTCTCGAATCCCTCTCCCCTGCCTTAGGTAAGTTG